TTATCAACAAATATTTTCAGTGTTATAATAATTTAATAAATAATATATTTTTTGTATTATTATTGTTATATATAAGATAATTACTTTAATATGTCATATTGAGTATTATTTTAATTTATCTATTGAATAATAATATTTTGCCATTAGTAAAAAATTTATAAAATAAATAAAATTTTATAGTTTTAAGTATTTATATATCACAATAAGCCTATAGACCTAAGTGAATCCCCCTGGGATCGCCGGTACAACCAAGTATTTATATTAAACATTAACGAATCAAAGTAATTAATTACTAAATACAACTACAGGTTTAAGTTGTATCTAAATCTGCTATAGATACTTCTGGTCAGAACACTCTAATGTTAATACTTTACATGTGTAGAGAATTGTGTTTTTCGAACTGCTATAAAGATTTAAAGTTCACATTGTCATAAATCAGTATTAATAAAAGAATTCATAAAAAAAATAATTTTCTTCCAATTTTGACTAATAAAACAGTTTTCTCTATTTATGATTCCGTGTAATCTTTCTCGTTGATTTTATTGCCTCAAATATATTACGGAAATATACTTTATTCTTTATAGCTATAAATTTAAATTTTAAGAGTTTATTTTAGTCCAATAGCGCATAGTAATCGTATAGGTTGTCGTGAGTATAAAAGTCCTGCACTAAAAAGATTGTTCAGATTGTTTGTTTATTTTCAGTCGAAAAAGAGGAAAAATGAAAATCTTTATACACGTTTTTGTTCGGTGGAAAGGAAGTTGAACGTTTGTTTTTGATGGAACAAATGCGCTGAATAATTTCTAAAAATAGTGTTTAAACGATTCTCTTATTTTGACAGCTGGAAGCATGATGTTGCACATCTTATAAGACGAATCTGCCCATGGAACATTGTGTAAAATACTTTCCTTTGCAGCCAGTTGCATTACATTACATCTTATTGTCTTATTGTCACTTGATGCCCTGTTAGACAAAAATAGAATTTTTAGCAGAGCAAGAAAGGAAGAAGTGGCTTATTTTTAAACTCCCTTTGAACTATATATAAGTGATTAAATGGATTAAAGATGTCTCATTGCCTAAGGGAGATAGTTTAACTTACTTATGTATATGCTTCACACAATTAATTATTCTTTGATATGTTATATGTATGTCTCTAAAATTTCTTATTAAAATCTATCTATTTGAACATGATTAATAATTTTTTGGATTTTCAACGGAAACTATTTTTCTAATTTTTGCGATTGTCATTGCCAAAGGCTTTTTGATAAGATAAGATATTAATATATCTGCTAAATACTAAAATTATGCATGGATCGAAAATATTTTGTAGCCTAAAAGAATACTTTTTTATATATTTTTGGCCTTTATAAATTTAAACAAATTTATCTTTTGAATAATAAAAACACGAACAGTAAAGCGATATAAAATTTACGAGCCTATTTATTACTGATAAGAAAAGGTGCCTGATAAAGTCACACAATTTAATATCATCTATCTTATCTGCTACTAATAAGTCATTCATTTTATATATCCTATAAAATTGACGTCAACGATTACATAAAGGAATGTCTTGATAGATATATATTATATCAATATATTTGTGTATAATAGTAATTGCAAATGAAATAATAATAATTTTATTATATGAAAACTTTGTTAGAAACAGAGTTGCTTCTATATCGTAGACTCTTCATCCTTGCTATATATTTATTGATATAAATAATTTAAATTTATTCAAGATATAAAATATATATGTCAACTGTGTACTTACAAAACTAACGAATTGCAATATTCTTAACATTAGATCTGCTATACCCGCTCTACCCTCTTTAAACAATCAAAGGACGTCAAATAGTGCAAAACTGAGATCAGTCAGCAATCAATACTTATATATAGTTGGTATATGATAATAGGTGCGCGAAAATATATTTGCAAAAATCTTTATATAAACGAATACTTATTCAAAATCTTTTTTTTTTGTTTTTATGATTAATAGAACATAAATTCAACACCATGGTAGCCTTCGAAAGATGCAATTTAACATGGATAAGTTACAATCATTCGAAAGATTATCTTCTTTTGTGGGATCAATATTAAAGCGGCAAAACTCGTAGCGATTTTAATAGGTCATAGGTCGATATGTACCAATACTAAAATTTGATAAGTTGCATAGAGAAAGAATCCAATAAAACAATCGAATATTCCCTGTTCAAGAAATCGCTCACGTCCGATTTAAAAAACTTTCTAAATAATATCTCCAGACGCGACTAACTAATAAAGGTAAAAATGTAATATTATAAGTAAGTTATTTTTCGTAATTATTTTTCGTAAGTTATAAATTATTCACTTATAAATTAGAAAACAAGAAAAAAATTTATTAGACAAAAGTTTTTTTTTTATTAAAATGATATATATTACCTTATATACTTAGAGTATAAATATTGGTCTTTGAATTCTACGTCCATACACAATATAAATATGGTTGCCATATCTAAATATTAAATATATTTACAAATTTTAAGGGCAGTAATAATCAATATCTACATAACTAGTACTACCGAGATAAGCAAATGTATAGCAACTGCTTTCAATTTACAGAAGCATCTATAACATAACATTCCGTGAATTGCTGCTGCACAGTAACATTTGCTGTTATCGATTCTGTTATTTGCCATTGTTAATTGTATTTCCTGGATTTATTGTTCTGTTATTACAACTACTGTTCTGCTATAATTATTTATTTTGGTTTTTAGTTCTGCTATTAAAACTATTCTGATTTTTTAGTTCTCAATACTTTTTGCTCTACTATTGTCTTCAGAGAATATTTTTTATCTATGCAATTTATGTATTTTGAAGGAAATATTTAATTGATTTCTCCAACTTCTTTATTTTGTTTTCTCTGGTGTGATATAAAGATGCTTGTATGCGCAAATTTGAACGTAAGTAAATATGAAGTCTACAGATAAGTGAAAAATACACTGTTAGTGTTTTGTTTTTAGAATTCCTTTATTCCTTATTCAAACATGAATGAATAAATATTGAGTTTACTTAAAACTATAACTATTATATTTCAATAATAACAGTAACAATGAAGTAAGTTACATAGTACATAGTAGCACCTCAGACTGATGGGGATAATACAATTACCTGCAGACAAGCTAAAGAATCCATGCCGTATCGATCAAAAGCCAAAACTAGGGATCTACTTATGCTGAACAGAAGCTGCAGACTTTGTTGCGAAGAAAGCAATCAGCAGAACACATTTTTTGTCACTGTGATAGTCTTGCCAGACTCAAACTTTCGTACTTATTCACTGCATATCCACTTATAACGGAATTAGGCTACATCTCTTCAAAGGGCATAATTGTGTTCTTAATAGCTACTCGTCTATGGAACTAAAGTGGGTATGTCACAATAATACTCAAAGGATGCAGTGACGTGGTGACAAGTTTTAAAATCAAATCAAAAGTTACAGAGTAAAGTTACATATGCATATTATTTTTATTTTAGTTTCCTTTTTAACAAATATTAATTGTTTTATATAGACATAGAGTGACTTAATTACTTTAGCAATTAATGCTAAGGATTTAGTTGCAGAGTGCATTTTCTTAATTTTTTTTTTAAGTACTAATGAACTTGTATCAGAAATATAATATAGTATTTTAAGTAAAAATATTTTCTTCCATTACGATTTTATTTTATTTGAATTTGAACTATTTTCGAGGTCTGTCGTAATATAATACTTAGAATTTACCTTCATGCAGTAGACCTTCTGAGTGTTTTAGTGTACTTTCAGTAAAAACTTTTCTATCAAATCTATGTTTTTGATCTGGCTTAATTACTTTAGTAAATTATACTGAGAATTTAACTTTGTAGAGTACACCTTCTAAGTCTTTAAGTATGTTTCAAGTAGAAACTTTGCTATCCATTGTAGTTTTATTTTATATTAACTTGAGCTACTTTCGAAGTCTTACTTAAATAATTTAGTAAATAATATTTAGAATTCATAGTATTATTTATAGCTTCATGCAGTTAATCTTTCTGAGTCTTAAATATGTTATAAGTAGAAACTTTGGCATCCATTGCAGTTGTATCTTATTTAAATTTGAGTTATTCTCGAGATTTGACTTAATTATTTTGATAAATAATACTGAAGAATTAGCTTCGTAGAGTGCATTATTGTTTTGATATACTTATTGTTAATTTGTTTTAAAAATTAATATAAGTGTGTTTTAGTTAAAAACTTTTCCCTTCATTGAAGTTTTAGTTACATGATAAATGTTTATCACATACATTTATCATGTTTATATACAATTAAAAAACAAAATTATGTATTTTACTACAACAGTTGTATTTAGAATTAAAATAATTAAGTCAATTAAATATTAAAAAATCACAAGTAGTAGGTTCAAGGTAGAACTAATACTTCTGAGCTATATTTGTATGAACACATAACTCTGTATACGTTTTACCTTGCAATTTAAGTGCAGTATGAGATACATTTTAACCCTTCATAGGCCTTCTGATTTTATTTCAAGTATTAAGTAAATATTTTTGGTTTTTAACTGTCTTAACATTAATATTGTTGATGATGATGTCGGTCATAATTATATATACGTATATGATAATAGGCGATGATAAGATAAAAGGGAAGCTTTCATTTATATGCATGACAGTTAAAGTTGATAAAATAGTTCATTTATCGTTTATATGATAAAAAGTTATAAATACGAGAATTTAAATGTTATATTTTTAAAGTTTTTTTCCCCCAAAACTCTCACTTTTGCGTACGAATTTCATACCTTTTTTTGTTGAGTTTAGCAAAAATGCTTCAAATATTTGTAATTTTTAGGCAAATAAGTAGAGTCTTTGTGATTGCTGAGCACTTAGAAAATATTTGATAAGTTTAAGTTTATATTCTTTATAGAACGGTAGTAAGAAAAAAAACTTAAAAGCTTTACGAGTTAAATTTTGATTAATGAGGTTCAGTGGCTAATCGACGAACGTAGAGTTAAGAACATCGCACCAAAAAAAAAAAGTGGGCAGAGAAAAATCGCGGACTAGTAGACCAAGACTAAATTATTTGTAAAAAAAAACAAACTAAGCAAATATTTTAAATATTATAAAAAGAGAATTTACTATTACTAACTGGGCAACGTGTCTAATTTAAAACTATTAAAATCAATCAATTATCGATGTGGTAAATTTAACAGAAATCATTCCGAAAGATGCGTTCCAATTTCAGTAACAGTTATGAATATAAACGCTATATATCGTACGAACGTCAGGCAACCGGTAGGTGTAATTTAAACGTATATAACAAATATGTCAATTGGAGATCGTTTGATTGAATGGCTGGGCATATGGGCATATGGGCATATTGGCATATATCTTTAAGTGATAAATGTGTAATGACTTTCATAATTCAAATTGATTGAAGGCAAATATTTGTGTGTTAGATAAGAAATTGTCATCGCATGTATATCTGTGTGGAGACAACAGAACAACGTTTATCCAAATTGTTAACATAACATTTTGCAAAGAATAGCTTTTTAATATTCACGAATCATGTTCGAAGAATTCAAATATTATGCATGGCGAGTCATGTTAAACATATTTTGAATTCCAAAGAAGTTTCGTGATGTAATCATCAAATTTGTTGACTTCATAGTGAATAATAGTCAATCGAAACCGAAAAAAATTGGTATAAAAAAATATGGTTAATAAGAAATTGGAAGTAAAGTACAGCAAAATAGCACGGAAATATTATCTCTTTACCTGTACTAGTGTGATAATGAACTTATCAGCAATGTTATTTTATATTTTTTTTGTATTTTTTATATTTTTTATACTTTTTAATGATATAAGCTAAAAAATTGTTACTTGTGCTTAAGAAAATAAATCAATTTCACCAAATTACGTCCGAATGCGAAACTTAACATCGAATCGTATAACAAAGATCTTCGACAAAATTTAATTTAATTCGAAAAAAAATAATATAAATTTTTATAGTAATTTAAAAAGTTGTAAAAAACAACATTGACATATTGCTTCATAGTAACAAATTTAAAGCAATTTAAAACATTTATTAATAATAATTTTAGCGCTTATCAGTTCAGTTTGTTTACTTTTGTATTATTAAATAATCTTAATTAAAAATTGATACATATATATATATTTTTTTTTTTTTCAACAAATTACGTAAGAGATACTTTAATTCACATATATCTTTATACATATATATATGTAGATACGTAAGAAATACTACTTCCGACACACTAAATTCATTCGTGAATATTCGTATTTTTAATTTTTTTTATTTAAAAAATTAAAACAATTAATTTTTGAAAGCCATTGTTATTTTCAAATTTGTTATTTGATTAAACATTCTTTTTATTAAAGTTGACTTCTCAAGGCTCTAAGTTATTATTTTTATTTATTTATTTTTAATTCTATATAAATATTATTTAATTTTTTCACATAACAGAATACAACGTCGTCAACGTTATGGATTCTGAAGCTCAGTTTCTATAGAGCAGTCTATAGCAGTCTATTGTAGTTCTATTGTAAATTTGTATCTTTTACAAAATATGTAGGTACATTCTCTGATGTGTGCCTAATCATATTTGTCAATCTTAATTGTTGTATTCATAGGGTAAATTTTTTTGCTATTAAATAATTTAATAAAATTGAGTTTAAAAGTTATTAGGTTGTTTGAAAGACTATTATTTTATATTGAAAAATTTTTATGTTTTTTTTTTTTTTGATTAACTTATTTTATTTTATATATTTCCATAGTAATAAATAATATTTTCACACTGACACAAATTTGTCTAACGAATTGATTAAAATTTACAGATATGAAGTTGATTATATTGCACCCAATGTAAATTGTAGACATTTTTTTATTTTAATATTTAATATATTTATTTCTTCAAAGTAATTAATAAATTGCCGTTTGTTATTTTCCAAAAGATTGTTTTTCTTAGTAAAAATATATACTTCTATAAAAATGCTCATTAAAAATGTTCGCCAAGCCAATCAGCTTATTTAGTTTACTACTATTCTCTATATATGCTCCCATTTTTGTATTTACAACATTCGCTCAATTCAAAATAGAATAATTGTAAAGGAACTATTATAAGAACTTTATTTCTGGAAGACTTTATATATAGGAGACTAAGTATTATTTCTGTCTGTAATATTGTTGATATATTACATTTCATTGATCAATAACAAAATATATATTTAAAATCGTTTTTGCCCTTAATTTTTTCACTGCTATTTATTCTTATTCATTGCATTAGAATAGCTTTTAGGTTCAAGCATATAAGTCATTTCAAATTCTGTCATTTCATTGCATATTCTGTACTTATTATAATTGCTTATATTACAATTTTATGAGAAAAAGACAACGCAAATAAGAAGCACTTCTGTCTGTATTGCTGTAGATATTAATATCGCTTTTGGATTCAAGCATTCACTCAGTCGAAATTGAATTATTTACTCTCTTATTACATCCTTCTTACTGTACTTGTAGGTATAACACAAACAATTGCGTTCACGCTACATGATGTGTGGAATAATGTCTAACAAAAAACGTTCAAGATAATAGGTATCTTTATAGCGTTATCGATTAGCAAATCTGGATTCAATCTAGGTTTATAGTCGATCTGTCTAATGTTGTTGCCCAATTGAACATGTTCAGTGTAATGTCACATTTTTGTAGTTTTGTTAAAGGGCAGTAATATTTTTCATGAATTACCCGTCAAGTCTTATAAAACAGCTGCCAATTTTAGTGTAATCTTGCTATTCTGGCAAAATAACTAAATTAATCTTAAGCGTTAATGGTAAATCTCTGTTGCAAAAATGTTGCCCCAATCGGAAACGGCTTTAATTCGATGTCTGTTTTATTTCTTAGAGAAAACATCCCATAAGATATATTTCATGATAAAAAAATTGTAAAACTTCTACTCTGTGTTTAAGATTTATCTTATATTATATTTATACTTTCAAACTCAATCTTAACTTAGAGTTTAATCAGATTTTATCTCTTCTACTTAATAGAGTAGAGAGTACTCATATGTTATTTCGCTAATTTAGGTAGGCACTTCGTCATTTCATTTAATGTAATGCAGTTTGGCTTCTACAATTTCGCTTATTTTCTTATAGGTATTTTATATTAAAATTTTTTTTTTAATATAAATAATGTTTTAATCTCAGCATTTCATTCCCTACTTTCTACCGATACATTTTTATCTATTTTAAATACTATATATATCTTTATAAGATCCCTTCAGAGTTATTGCTTCATATATTAATTCGTATATCTCTATCTTACTGGCTTATATAAAATATTATATTGGCATTAGAAATATACTAACCTCATCACTTAATTATATCCAATATATGAAATATTGATCGTTTTCGTTCAAAATAGAAAAACAGAATAAATAGAATAGAGCCATTAGCAATTTGACATGATTAATATGATATTAATAATAGTAACATGATTAAATAAAAATACTTATGGATAAAAAAGTTGATGGATTAAATGTATAAATTAATATAATAACAATAAATAATAATAATAGCATAATTTAAATGAAAGTCGTGTAAAATGATAAGTAGATAAAAAACTATCAAATAACATATATTTATTTATTTTAAAAAGAATTAAATTAATATAAATGAGCTTTTAAGTGTTAATTTCACTATTAATGATTATTAAAATAATCAAAACTTTTTTTTTATTTAATTGTTAAATAATTAATTAATTAAAGAAAGAAATATTTATTATAATTTAATAGTGATATTTCCAATTTAAATCAGATAATTAAATTAAACTTGTCTTTGCATTATGGCTCACGGTTAGCTTACTATACTTCGTAGGTATAGTCAAATTTTTTGCAAATTATCTAGTTTTTAATAGTTATTTACAAAATGGATTTTAACACCTATCTACCAAAGTTGCTGAATATATTTAAACAAATTAAATATTTTTCCTAAGAATAGCATCAGTCTGTATGGCAATAATATCTGAATCTGTATCGATTTAAATAAATTTAATCATATTAATTTCTAATATATAGCTCATATTTATTTTATACCAAATTTCAATTTAATACTTTTATAAATAATATGACAACCATAGTTTTGATTGTTCAATTTATATGACAGATATAGAATACATTCATCACCATCCGTGACTATACAGTCCATGTAGGACCTAAGCCGTCCATTCTTCCCTATATTTTGCTTTTGTTTTTCAATTTCTTATGTTTATTTCTGCTGCATGTTCTTATGTTCAGTCCTGCTGCACACTGTCTTTCCATCGCTTTCCTGGTCGCCCTCTGCTTGTGCTAGTTCCTACTGATTTCTCATAAATCTTGAGCGGTACATAGAATATATTCACTCTATTTTAATTGTCCTGACAAATACTTAAGATCCATTCCTAAGAAATTTAATATACAAACTTTCAATCGTACATCTCAAACTGAGGAAATAAATAACTTTAAAAAAGATAAATATACATGAAAATTAATTTTTCTTATTGAAGTAATCAAAAATATATATTTTTCAGACCCTGAACGTCTCTAATATATCCTGTAAGGCATTATATACATATAACATTATAAATTGAAGCAATAGATTAATTTAATTGTATCATTTGCCTTTGTCATTCTTTTAGAAAATATATAGTACATATATACATAGTCTGTCTTAAAATCTCTATAGTTCCTTCACTGTGTACCTTTTTCATACTATAATTTTGACAGTAGTATAAAAATAACTTTCAAAATTAGAAAAATAACAAATAAATTTAACAGAGGTTGTTATTATTATCTATACCATATATAAATTATTTATTTACGAAACTACTATTTTCATGTATTATTGCAATCAGTAAATAATAATTGGTAATGTTGATACTTTCGTGTTTCGATCAAAGATTGTTCTGGTTATCTTTAATGAAGTCAAACTTTATTTCCAAATATGAGCAGTTTTGAAAATATTTCAATTCGATTTTAAAAATATTTTAATTTATTTATTACAATTATCAAGAATTTTTAGATAACACAAATTGAATACAGACATTTGTGTTAAGTTGCAAAAAGTACTTGTAGTTCAGCATTTTAAAGTGTCATAAAGATATTAACAGACCTGACTAATGACGACTAAACTAACACTTAGAAAACTAAAGAATTTCATACTAATTTTGACAAATTCTATTTTTAACTATTACTGGTATTAACTTTTAAATGCTGATTAATAACAAAATTAAAATTATTATTTATTTTTAATTAAAAAGCTTTTAAGTATGAAAAAGCAGTTTCAGTAAAATCATCTCTCATGATTTATTAATAAAATCGGACATAAATATCTGCTAGAGAAAAAAAATATTTTTTATGTTATAAATATATATTATATTCTATAATTTTCGCATTGATTACTGATTCTTTATTATATTCATAATTTTAAAATAAAATATATGGTTGGTATACATTCAGGTCTCAATATGATAAATTGACACATACCTGTATAAGTAGACACTTAGACAGGTATTATAGTTCCATTTTAAGATTGTGATTTATGTATATCTAGAAATTTTGTATGTACTTTTTACAGTTCTATACAATAGAAACCAAAATTACTGAAACAATATAATAAATTTAAGATAAGTTAATATCGTTTTCTTAATTAGAATGTACTATCTCTTCCACTCGGTACAATTATCCAACGTTCTGTTTGTTATTATAAAACTATGATTTTTATTTTATAGTACTCTATATATATTATCTAGTAAATTTTTATGCTTTTTGAGAATGTTTTACAAAAAATTTCCTATAACCCTTTTTGCTAAATTATTTTCCCCATTTTAAGTGGTTTAAGCTTATTTTTTCATTTCTTCTCCTTTTTCAATTTTTAATAGTATTTTGGGTGGCACCTTAAGCTATTCACATTCTTTTTTAAACCCAATTTTACGCGTATTTGCTGTTGGCTGTTACTTTCATTTTTTGGTAGTGTTAGCTGGCACTTTGAATTTATTTGTGTAATGTATTTATTTGAGCTAAGTTGAGCAATGAGTGCTTGAGTGTAATTTACTTCGATAAACACTGTTTCATTTTGAATATATCACTTGATTACTTAATAATAATATATAACATTTTTTTTCAATTATAATTCAATAAAACACTTGATTAGTTAACAAAATAATTAATTTCAATTAATTACTTGTTTAAAATTTTTTTTAATTATAAATTATTGAAACACGAATATTCAAAATTAGGTGTGTTCACTTTGTAATGAGAACATTTTCAATGTCTAGTTTAATTACTTTAGTAAGTGATGTTTAAAATTTTAAGTAGTTCTATAGAATGGGATTCAAAATATTTGCACTTATATAAAGACTAATAATAAATATGGGTTTAGAAATATACTGCTTCCGTAAAGTTGCTAAACCTATTACAGCTTTAGCATGACTTATATGTTATAGTAACTTTTTTCTTCATAATTTTTACCATTTTTGTACACAATGCTTATGATTTTAAAGATTGGAAACCAATATAAAAATTAACAATGACATATTTATAGTTATACGGACTTGTATATTGGTTGTCTGTGACATAGCCTGCGATGTTGGTCTAACATATATTTAGAGAATTTACAGAAAACAGAGCTGACAGCGATTTTTAAACGAATTTCCGACTATTTAGTGTAGTTGACCGAAAACACGAACTGTACATATACATGAACTGTCTGGAACCTCTACTAGGGTCGTTAGATAAACCGGTTTTTGAGCGATACCATTTGCGTTCTAACTCTAAAAATAATAGCTTTGTTAATCTTGTTAATCTGTGACATTCTTTTGGGAAATTGATGTATGCGGAGTCAGTTCTCATAAAAATAATATTAATTTCTAGCGAAAATAGTTATTAAATATCAATACTTGTACTTACTTCTATTATGAAATAAAGTTGTGCAATCGCAGGTGTACGAGAATGTTTATTACAGATATTTTATTTATACAATATAATTTTTTTTTGTTTTTCTTTAATATAAATGTATTTCAGATATTGAATAGAAGTTATTAATTTTTGTATTCTATCATTTATTGTTAAAAAGGCTTTTAAAAAGTTAAATATTTGAAATACACAAAAAAATTGTTTTGTTGTTAGTTTTTATATATTTTTTTTATATTTCTTTTATATTTTTTATTGTCTACTCAAATGTTGATTTATCTGTAGAGCTCGAATATAATACGAGTAATAATTTCGTATTATTTGCAGCAGAAAAATAAAGAAATAAAGAACTTTTAATAAAGTAAAATAATTTGTTAAGCAAACATATGTAATAATGACCGGAGGGCAGTATTACTTTTTGCCTAAAATTATTGTTTATACAATAATGAATTTATGCTTGAAAGCATGGTTTTCTTGTTAGAAGCATTGTTAAAAAAATGAAGTAATTTATTTTAAAATTACTCTGTATATATTGTTTTTTTAAATTATTCAAAACATTTGAACTTCACTTCACTTCACTATATTTTAATAAGTCACTATGATGTGCACTTTCAAACTACAAAAAAATCTACCTTCATAAATTTTTATCTATATTTTTGGTATTTTATTTAAAGCCACTTTAATAAAGAAGTTTACTTTTGAGTTTATAATATTTATAATTTAAAAGAAATGTGTGAGTTAGGTAAAAATTTTAACAACAAAAAATGTTTATGCATATCTTTGTTATCAGATCTAGTGTGAGATACTTCTTGTTTCTAGCAAAAATTGTGCCAAATGTGCGATTAAACTACAGTCGTTGACTACAGTAACTAGCTAATCTTTTTGTAATTCAATTTTATGGAACACTGTAGCCACGTTGATTGTTGGCCTAACGGCGGCAAGTACTACATAGTATTTATTATGCTGTTCGTACCGAATATTCGGATATGGACGACTAGTTCGGATCCTTTGCTACTAATAGAATAGGATCTCTACTAATAGACATAGATTCACTTATGAATTGATTCTACTAATAAAATAGATTCTACTAATAGAATTGATTCTACTAATAGATTAGATTCTACTAATAGAATAGATTCAATACGTATTACAGTAACGTATGTTTATTAGTGGTGTTCGTACTCGAATAATGCGAATTTTTAGAATATACCGAATATTCGGATATGAGCGAATAGCTTGTATAGTTCGTTCTATTTAAATGTTTACTTAACTTTACTATTGACATTTCTAGCGACTATAGTCAACTAATGTAGTTGGTCATAAAGCGATTCTATTTCAAATTTGGTTAATATACTAAATTAAATATACTAAATTAAAAGAATACTAAATTTTTTTTATAAAATAATTTTGTTTTATATTTTCATTTAACAATAATTAATATATTCTTTATATTTTTTTTATTTTTAGCATCACAATATGAACCCGGCGGTTACTCGTTGCAAGCACAAAACCGAAATTCGGCCAATATGACCCAACGGGATGGTATTATAAAATTTGAGAACGAACGCATCAAAACCCTCCAAGAAGAACGTTTACACATACAGAAGAAAACATTCACAAAATGGATGAATTCATTTTTAATAAAAGTAAGAATATATTTCTGCCTCATATAATACATTGATTTATTTACTCATATATTCTTTTTGTTATTACTGTTACTGTTTATTATTTCTAATATCTAATATCTGTTTATCTGTTTACTTGCAGGCCAAAATGGAGGTCGAAGACCTATTCACAGATTTAGCCGATGGTATTAAATTACTTAAATTACTTGAGATCATATCATCGGAGAAACTGGGAAAGCCAAATAACGGTCGAATGCGTGTTCATAAAATTGAAAATGTCAACAAGAGTCTGGCATTCTTGCACACCAAGGTAAGCCAGCTAAAGCCAGCTAGTCAGTCGAATGGAGTCGACTGAGCAAGTTGACGTTAACGTTGACGACTGTCAACTTGCGCTTCTCGAACATTGACTCAGTCAGTTACTTTAAGTTAAGATAAAATATTTGCGTTTCTTCAAGTCTTCAAGTGAGTAGCAGAGGTATTTGCTTGCGTCTTGCCTTATAGGGCGATAAAAGTATCTATCTATGCCCATACAAACATAGACAGAAATGCTGCTTAAAAGCTGCAGCTGGTGGTGCCTACCATTATTTTTATCTTTGAAAAAGTTTGAAATATTCGTAGTTGGTGCGATTGCGCAGCTGTGACTGC